CCTCAGTCATTGCCTCACTACCTCCTAACTTTGTACCATTAGCTTACCATGCACTACCACTGTACCCCAGTCATTGCCGTGCTACCTCCTAACTTTGTATCATTAACTTGCTGCTCGCTATAATACATACATACTGTGTGAGTTCGGAGAGAGGTCATACATAGACGTGGTAAACTGGCAATATAAGCATCTACTGCATTCTAGTCACGCTGTTACTTGTTCCATCTCACTACTTGTTACTTCTGAAACATTTATTATACGTGTTTTACGTATAAGGAGCATTCCTACATGGGAAGCCTGCGTCATTTTACGTATAAGGAGCATTCCTACATGGGGAGCCTGCGTCATTTTCTCAACATGCATTGATGAATGTGATTGTCATCATCAACGTTCTCGTTACCAGTCCAATCAAGCTGGTGGTCGCAAAGTGCTGGGATCCGAACCCGAAAGGTTACTTCACGATCCCGCGCTCGGAGCCTGTGCGACCGATCGATCCGTCAGCGTGGGTGGCACACACCGCAGCTGTGAGAGGCGGTGAGTGTCAGATATTGACACGCCCGCGGGCCGTGTACCGCGCGGGCGGGCAAGCTGTGCCAGTTGCTCACGCATGCATTTTTAAAATGTTAATTTCTTTTCGAGTGCGCACCACATGCGTTGTACGTGCGAGTCACGTCACGTTTGTGAATTAATTACAATTCTGCGTCCGTCAATGCATCTCACGGCGTCACGGCGCGTTTACGCGAGCTGCGTGTAATTGTGAGGTAATACAAACAGACGTTTACCTGTAACTCCCAGGAAATATAAATGTATATTTGTCCGGAACTGCTAGTTATCACAAACTTTGTGTTTTTCGTGTAATTGCCACGTAACACAAATGTAGTTTTACTTGTAACTGCTAGGGAAACAAACGTTCATTATCTGTAATCACCAGGTAACACAAATGTAGATATATCTGTAATTGTCACTATTAAATAAATGTTTAACTGTAGTGGCCAATTAACACCAGCTTGACAAGTCTGTGTCAATAAATGCCCGATATTCCCATGTAAATATTGCTTTCGGCTACAATAGAGTTAAATATCATAATATATATATCATATAATCATAAATATCCAGATATAAATATAAATATCAGAGCCACTCGGAGAAAACGTTAAATGTGGCCTCTATAGAATGATGGCAAGAAGTTGTTCATCGAGGGTGGTGAGTGCTAAGGATTGATTGTAGATGTATTGTAGATGTGGATGTAGATGTAGTGATGATGTGGGATGTGGATGTAGATGTAGATGTAGTGATGATGGGGGGGGGTGCTATCTGTATCGTGGTTGTTAACGTTCACGCGTGTGATGTCCGCGGTGTTACAGGTGGCATAGAGTACGTGGGCGGACCCGGGGCACATCTCAGCCAATCATTGAGCACGATGACGTCGACGAGCTCGTCAATCACGAGCAGCATCCCCGAATCTGATCGTAAGTCTCGCGTTCG